CCTGGTCTTCTGACCCTGCAGCACAGGCTTCTGCGGTTTAGCCCACAGCGCCACCACGTCCAACCTGCATGGAGAGCTTCAGAAGATTCTAGAGCCTAAAAGAGTTTGTTACTCCACACTTTCCATACTGCCCATGCTCCTCACCTTATAGCCAATCCTCAGTTCTCCCAGTCCAATGCTGATTGGAAATGTGCACTTGTATGGCAAACTTGGGTGGAGGATGGGCATATTGTGTGAATTCATTTATGTCCACTCAAAGAACTACAGTTATAGGCAAGCAATGTGCCCTTTACATGGATGAATTGGGCAAGAATTTCTTTGTTGGGGTCAGAAGTTTGTCTGTTCTGTCTGGAGGTAGATATGTTCTTGCAGTCATGGGGTTCAATACTGCTCCAATGAACTGAACCACTCTTTTTGGAATTTGAAATGTTGTCAGCATGAAAATGCCAGTTGGAGAGAGAGACATAAAACTCTATGGCATACCCGTGTTGGACTATGGATAGGACCCAGTTATTCTTGGTGAGGATGCACCAGGTGTTGAAATGGTGCACTAGGTGTGAGGATGTGTGTGGCAGATGAGAAACAAAGGCTTGTGGATCTTGGTCTTAAGGAAGTCAAAGATTTTGCTTAGACATTTTGCCCATCTTTTGGAGATGGTATTTGGTTTATACTTTTGTGAATGTGGTCTATACTACTGCAAAGAAGCGGAAGAAGGAGGTTTTGCCCCTCTCTGGTGAATCTGTTTGAGGGAGAAATATATGGGCATTTCCACTGATAATAGTTAGGTATGTAGTGTGATTGAAAACCCATTCTCTTTGCTGAGATTCTTTTCTTGTATAGATTGTCCATAGTATTATCTGTCTTGTCACTGAAGAGGCCCTCACCATCAAACAGCAAGTCCTTTCTTCTTGATCTATAGTCCTCAGAAATTCCAGCAGAGTACAACCACACATATCACTGTAGGGCTATAGCCATATTCTTTGATGCACAATCCATGGCATGTCTAGCCTTGGTTGCCCTATGTGTTCACCTTTCCCGGAAGAGAGACGGGGGAGTGTGACCCTGTTGATACTCCTGGACCTCTCAGAGGCTTTCAACACCTTCAACCATGTTGTCCTTCTGGATAGGCTGGCTGGGTTGGGAGTTGGGGGCACTGTTTTACGGTGGTTCTGCTCCTTCCTAGCTGACCGGGTCCACGTGGTGGTGTTGGGGGACAGTTGCTCTGCCCCATGGCAATTATGTCATGGAGTTCCTCAGGGCTTGGTACAGTCCCCCATTCTGTTCAACATCTACATGGAACCACTGGGAGAGGTCATCAGGAGGTTTGGGCTGGAGAGTCAACAATATGCTGATGACACTCAGCTCTACCTCTCTATTTCCACCAATCCAGGTGAGGTGGTCTCTGTGCTGAACTTGTGTCTGGATCTGATAATGGACTGGATGAGGGTTAATAAATTGAAGCTTAATCCAGGCAAGACGGAAGTGCTGTTAGTGGGTGGCTCATTGGACAGGTTAAAGGGCCATTTCCCTGCCCTGAATGAGGTTGCATTGGGTTTTAGTGTGTTTGTTTCAACTGAACTGTTTTAATTGATGTTGGAAGCTGCCTGGAGACTCTTGCAGGGTGCAGGTGGCATACATGTTGAATAATTAAATAAATAGTGGCATGCATTTCCTGGGTGGCAAGGGATATGGCCTCTTGCTGGAAGGTTAAAGCCTGCATTCTTTTATCCTCTGGCAGGTTATTTAGAAGAGGCTGACTTTTATCCCAGAGGAATCTATGGTAGACACTCATGGCAGCCTCATAGTTGGCCACTGTAATTCCAAGAGCTCTGGTGTAACAGATTCCACTTCCTATTGTTTCCATTTTAAGCCAGTCCCTGTTATTTGGTGTGGCATTGTGGCATCCCATAGACTTAGTCTGGGAGGTTTCAACAATGATGCAACTGGGGTAAGGATGTTGCAGCAAGAACACTGCCTGCCTTATAGCGAATTTCATATAAATTGTCAGCTTATCTTGGAGTAGTTGGTAATGTGGATAGGTTTTAGATTCCTTTACTAGGTGGAGGAGTGATGGGAGCATAAAGACATGAACAGGATAGCTACATTCTTGTTTATCTGATTGTATACCAGATCAGATTTGGGTGGTTGTGATTGTTGATCTTCCAGTTGCAGAGATTTGGCCAATCTGATGAAGTCTGAGCAGGAAAATCCTCTCCCCCTCAAGCCCAGATAAACACCTCTCCCATGAACTTTGCCCCAGGCCCTCCTTGGTTCCCTCTCTCATCTTTTGCCACTCTTGCCTTCCTACTCCATGATGCAGGTGAGCACCAGAGGCATCTCCCTGCTCAGGTCCCATCTCCCATCACGGTGCACCCAGAAGAGTGGGAGACTCAGGCAGAACAAAAGATGCTGTTGCCATGGTGATAATTTTTCAGTCCTGCCACCATCTTGGGCATCAGCATGCCCAGCATCAACCACACACTCACCTCATTTAGGCCTCTTTGAGATGGATTGACACTTGGATCCAAAGGGCTGACGTCAGTCCTCCAAAGGTGGAAGCAGAGAGGCAGAGAGAAATGAGTGAGAGTTGCTCTTTTAGAGGGGGTAGAAGTGATGTGCATGCATAAAAGGAAAACCTACCCAAAGGGGTGCATAAATAATTAAGAACTCTATGTTGTCTGCAATCCCAGTTCAGATTAAAATTATCTACTTGTGGGCCAAGAGGACCAAAATAAAACAGCATTGTGTGTACCATATTTAAGATAATATAAAAATAATTGCAACTAAAAATAACCACAGTGACATGTCCCCCAGAAAACACTTCACAACCCTTTTTGGGGGGAGGAGGGGTGACAACTCCCAAGTTGGGAACTCATGTTCTAGAATGTTCTGAAGGTCTCCACACAGGCACAAAGAAACCTAAATGTGTGATTCATGGCGACCATGAGAAGTTGTATTTACCAATATCATATTGCATGGCCAATGTAAACCAGGGGTTCTTAACCTTTTGAAAAAATCACCCCCTTGAGCCATTGAGGAAGTTATCATCGCCCCCCTCCCCCAACATAACAGCAGTGCGGCGGCAGCAGCACCAGATCCGCAGCCAGCACCAGCTGCTCTGGATTTGCCTGCTGGATTCGCTGCCAGCACCGCGGCTGCAGCTGCCTTAACGGGTTTGGCTCGCTCCATCGCACCCATATCACCCCCTTCTGTTCCTTCGCCCTCGTGATGCCCCCTTTTTGTTCCATCGTGGCTCGCTCCATCGCACCCATATCACCCCCCCTTCTGTTCCTTCACCCTCATGATGCCCCTTTTTGTTCCATCGTCCCCCTAAAAAACAAAATTGTCCCCTGGGGGTGTGATATCACCCAGGTTAAGAACCACTGATGTAAACTATCGTTTGTTGGTTTCTTGAAATAGTAAACTACAATTTGCCTCAGACCAGGAAAGAAGATAAATGCTTCATGTGAGAGGAAACGAGAGCAACCATGTGAGCCCAAGGGTCCATGAAGGGCTCATTCAAACACCACTAAAGCAGAGCTCAGCATTATCTTTGAACCATCTAGATGGATTTAATGAATCTGCAATAAACCAATACATATTTGTTTTGTGCTAATCAAAACTGCAGTTTTTACAAAGTGAGGCAAGGCAAATGCAAAAGCCCACACTGTGGGAACAGCTGTGTATTATACTTTAGAGACTTAGCTAATAGCACATTTGCCCACAAGAATTCTTGAGGATCAATGTTCAGCCAGAATCCCATTTAGGAGCTAAGGCATATTTGAGCTCTTAACAACACATTCCCTTAAAGCCACTATTAATGTAACAGGCAAATGGAGGCAAAAGATCTGGTGGCTGCCGTTTTCAATATAGTAACACTGGCTTTTAACTATCTTCACTATGCTGTGGAGTTGAAACAATGCGTGTGAAATGCCTGGTTTTTAATATGTTTTCTACTATAAAATAAAAAGAGACAGCTAGGACACTTACAGTATTGATGTTGAGATTCAGTTACTTAACATTAATGAAAATTTCCAGTAAAATATATGCATTTCCTTGTTACTGCTTATTGGATTTTTCTTGTGCTCTAAAAGTAACTTGTACATTATTGTAGATTATTGCTAAGATTTGGATTTTTAAACATTAGAAACTAAGCTATATATATACTGGTATAATATCTGCATAAGCTTTCAAATATAAGTCTTGGGAACAGAGGAGGCTCTTACACAGCATATGATGAATGGTCCATTTAGCTTAATACTGTCAACTCTGGCTGGCAGAATCATCTCGTTTTCTGGAGATATATAGCCTACTTGATAGCCTCCCATACAAGGTTGTTCAGCTTAAAAAAATGTATGCAACACAGATATATTCAGGATGGCAAGGCTGAAAATGTACTAGACATTTTCATTCTTTGCAGTTAATATCAACACAGAAAAATTAAAATCAGGCACCATATTTTCACTTAAATACAGGGATACAAGCAAGATGCTAACTTGTTAATAATTTTTCACAATATACAGAGCTAATCACATACGGTTTGTATGATTTTATTGTAATATAACAAAAATGAAACAAATGCATGACCAGGTCCTCTCCTTAAAAAAAAAATCTAAAGAAAAAATTGGAAAATATGTTTGTTAACATGAACAAATTGTTTAGTAATTCATCTACATTTACAACTCTTCCAAATACTCCATTTAAAATGTCTGAGAAATTAATTATAGTCTGAAACAGAATCATAGCACGCTTGTATAAAACATACTGCTAGATTCACCATTACTTATCCTAAAAAACATGAACAGTCCCATTTATATGGATTTCAAATATGACATCCTCTGGCTGAGAAATACCATAAAAAGGTTGTAGACTTAAAACATTATATAACAATTTTCAGTATAAATATAGATTAGATTCTGAAACAAACTGTACACTGTTTTGTTTAAAAACTGACTATTTTGACCAACAATGAAATTTTAAAATCCTGAACACTTTATCCTATCTGAAGAGGAACAAAATGTGTGTTTTCTGTGCACAAAAAAGAAATATAAAAACGGAATAATTTCTTTCTTCAATAAATATGTAGAAAGAAACCCCATCATATCACCCAGGAATACATACTAGTCTGAAGTTAGGAAAGCAAAGTCAGCCTCTTATAGGATCCTAGTACCACTTATCAATAGGATTAGGACAGGAGTAGAACAAGCTTAGATTCTGGTGTACAATTTCTGTATGTATCTATTGCTCTGGTATAGCACTTACATAATACATATTGAGCTGTACACTGACTCTATGAATTGTCATCCCTCTTTTGCACAACCCTGCAAAGTTGAATAAATTATGTGTTTAGCTGGTGCAGGATGGCCAGCTATGCCGGATCGGTGTAGAATCAATAAGGTGCATGAAGGTGCTCATGAAGTATTTCCCACTAGTATTCAGCTTAGAGGCGGTGCAGAAACAACAAACAAACAAATTGCACAGTTTTGACCAGAGCAATTACATATTAATAAAGTATAATTCCTGTGATGATCCAGGAAAATTTCCTGTACATTGAAAAATATGTAAATAACCTATATTTATAATATATATTTTTGACCACACTCACTAACATGGTGTTACAGGACCAACATGTTTTATTTTGTTTTTAAAATATGCTAGGTTTACTGTCATTTGGTTTTAAAATTCATAAATCTCTTAACACCTTTCCTTCTTCTTCATCATCACTATCAGTCACATTGACTTGCTGTACACTAGAGGGGGTGGATGGGGTTGCGGTAAAAACATTCTCAAGAGCTCCAATGTCCAGCTGTGGCATTGGGTTTAAGTATTCCTCCTCAGTCTGACTTTGGCTGCTGTAATAGGATGCCCCTTCCAAGCTTTCACAGCTATGGGAATCTTCGCTATGCGTGTGCTCATCAGGATACTCCCGAAAAGGATAGTCTCTGTTCAAAGCTGAAAACATAGCTTCATGCTTTTGATACTGGTCTTCATAAAAGCCAAGGCATTCAGGCATGGAGCTGGGGAAGTTTCCATAGCCAAATGGAGGTCGGCTGTATGGACATGTGCTGCGACAGACAAAGAGGTATTACATGAAGGATTTAACTGATGTTTGAGAAGCACAGCTTACTTTAAAAAAAAAACAGTCTTAACTATTCATTAATTACCTCTCCACATATTTCCTAACCAATTTAATTAATCACAGAGCTTTTCAGCATTACCATATCCCTAGGGTAGCTCACAACTAGTACACAATAAAATAATCAAAACAGACATTTTCAGTAAATTAATGTGTCAACAGCAACCTCGATCTAACTAAAAGAAATAAGAAATAAGATGTATCTAAAATAAATACACAAGACTAGGGAATGTATCCGAAGAACCTCCTTAGAGGGATTATTCCTCAAGACGAGGATCAACATTTATAAACCCCTGTGTCCTCATAGCCCCCAGTCTAGTCTCTGTAGACCAAACTGGTGTAACAATCCCAGTTTCAGAGAATCATCAGCCATGTTATGGTGCTTCCAGACAGAGGGTTTCTAGTGTTATGTTGTCCAGCTTCTTAAATCTTTAACAAGCTTTCTCTGGTGGGCATGGGCACAGAGACACAGACAAAGACACACACAAAGCAGTAGAAAAACATGGCAGAGCTATGAGTAGAAGATGACACAATCTGTCCCACCACCCTCCAAATTCAAGAAATGAGGCAGGATAATTTCACCCCTCCCCACCCCCACACCATATCTAGAAGTAACCTTAGTTCAAGCAAAAAGTGACAACAAGTCTTCTGGAACTTTGAAGACGATTTTGACCTACAAGCTTACATCATAAGAATGTTTTTGAGTTTAAGGTATCATAAAACTCTTATGGCTAAGATCCAGTAGTAAGTTACAACTAGAGTAGGCCTACTGAATCAGTGGGAATTTGGTGAGACAACACCCTTTTAAGTTTCAGTAATTCACCAGGCCTACTCTAGTTACAACTTACTACTAGATTTCAGCCTGTGTCTAAGGAGATGCATATGGAAGAATACCAGCTATCACAAAATACTCGTGATCAGATTGTTGATCAAAAGAGGTTGCTTCCTGTAACTTCTGTTCTTTGAGTGGTTCTGTGCATTCATACTGATGGGCTGCACCTGCACAGAGCTACCCCTTCTGGAATCCTTGAGACGAAGAGCTTTTGACTGCTGGTTCCATCTCCTGTCTTGTAGTGCACGTTTCAATACTTCTTCTCTCTCTTTATACATTTCAGACAACACAACAGATCTTGTCATTTAAGCACAGGTGCCAAAGAGGAGAGCACAGAAGATCATTCCAAAAGATCAGAAGGAAAATGATGACTCTATACTGGCATGTCCCCCAAGTGAGTATTGACCAGAGCTGAAACATCAGTATGTTCTAGCAGCGTATGGCTGAGACTGTAAGGCTGATGGTCCCTCTTTTCAGATTTCATATCCAATAATGTGCCCAAAAAGGCCTACTGACACCACTGTGGGCCCTGAGATAGGATTAGATAGTTGTTGTTGAAGCTGCAGAAGCAAGGGCTTTCTTGAACAAATGAGATTTCAGCTCTCAGTCTCAAAGATTCCAAAAGAAAATTCCAAAAGAGGTCAGTCCACACAGACACAGTCCACCAATGTGAGTACCACAACAAACATTAAGCATATTGTTCATAAGCACATTATTCTGTTCAACAGATCTGAATTGGCATTCCTCTTGTTCCTTGTGCTCAGTTCAAGGGGTTGTTTTTGTCCTTTAAGGAGTCCTACTGTACTCATAATTCTTTTAATTCTAAATGTATTTCTTCTGCATGAGATCCTAACTGGTACAATGCGCCTTGGGGTTCTAGTAAAAATAACAGTAGGACCCACAAGCTAAAATCTGCCTCCCACTGACTTGAAGGGACTCTTCTTCCACACAAATTTGTTGATCAACAAGATCCTGGTTCTTGATACATCTCCATTTTATTCTCCGTTGGACAGAGCCCACTATCTCAGACTACTGGACAGGGTACGTTCAGTATGGCCGTATCCAAACTGTGGATTCGAAGACATATTCATTTGGTGACAAAATAGTAACTGAGTGGTGTCTTTTTTGTTTTTAGTGGCATTTAAAAACATTATTTTAATGATACAGTGGGCCCGCTTATCCAAGGGATCAGTATCCACTGATTCACTTATCTGTATTACCAGAACCAGTCACTAGAGAGAGCCAGAGACTGTGCTATTTACACTTGTTAGTGAATAATATCATATTTTTCCATGTATAAAACAACACTTTTCCCTAAAGTAATTAGAGGAAAATTGAGGGTTGTTTTATACACGGAAGGGGGGGAGTGGGCCCGCTTATCCAAGGGATCAGTATCCACTGATTCACTTATCTGTATTACCAGAACCAGTCACTAGAGAGAGCCAGAGACTGTGCTATTTACACTTGTTAGTGAATAATATCATATTTTTCCATGTATAAAACAACACTTTTCCCTAAAATAATTAGAGGAAAATTGAAGGTTGTTTTATACACGGAAGGGGGGGAGGCTTTCCCCTTCCACGTTTTGCAAAGAAAGTGGAGGGAGAAAGTGATTCCTGCTTTCCCCCTGCACTTTATTTGCAAAAAGCTGATTTTTAGAAAGTGATTCCTGCTTTCCCCCTGCACTCTATTTGCAAAAAGCTGATTTTCCCCTATACTTTTTGCAACAAAAGTGCAGGGGGAAAGCACTTTCCTCACAAGAAAGTGGAGGGGGAAAGCACGAATCAAAGCACTTTGATCTCTGCCTTCCACTTCCACTTTCTTGTAATGAAAGAAATGTTGGGTTAGGCGTGGGGGGAGGCGTTTTATACATGGCAGTATCTTATATACAGAAAATATGGTACATAGCAGTTTCTGATACTCTCTAGTGGCTAGTTCTGGTGATGCATGTGAAAATAATTTTTTCTGAGTTTTTTACTTTTATCATGCTCTATCTATCTATCTATCTATCTATCTATCTATCTATCTATCTATCTATCTATCTATCTATCTATCTATCTATCTATCTATCTATCTATCTATCTATCTATCTATCTATCTATCTATCTAT